TAATACAAGCACATTTGCAAGCCTTTCCACGCGTTGGCTGAGCCATTTTCCTTGCATGCCAAAATTAAAAAGTCGTCGGCGTAAGTGGCACCATCTTGTTCTCCACGTGAATACTTTACGTCGTCGGCGGGCGTTCATAAAAAAGACAATTTCCCTTATTGCCGCAATCTGTTACACATGTTCCTGCAGGGTTATGTCTGCGCCGCCCTCATAAACGACAAAGTAAACCATAATTTATTGCGCAAATTTAGGGTCAAACACAACTCATAAATTGCTTTAGTAAATTATTTAGAGCAACTGATTTAGTTCAACCACCAAATGGTGTATTCAACTTCGGACAGTAGTTATAATGTAACCTTTGAGCAATTATATGATTCTAAAATAACTGTTCATTAATAGTGATGAGAGAAGGTATGTTTAAGCCTACCATTACTTTTTATAGTTTATTATTTAAAAAAAAACTGTTAAACGACATAACTCAATACCAATCAAGTTGAAAATGCCAAATTATTAATGAAAATTTCACCATGTTTTCATGTTTAGCGTCAAAGCACACATATCAACTCGGAAAAGTTTCGGTACCAGCTCGCCTTTTGGCTTGCCGTCAGACAGGCGTCCATCTAACGTAAGCGGATAAGTAGCTCCAGTACGTTCGAATCGGCTACGGCTAAGCGATGCTACGCTTACGGCTCACCGACCGCAGGTTGACGGCTCACCGACAATTTATTGACGCTGGGCGGTAGCAGTTACAGCAGTTATAGAGAAAAATTCCTGTCTATAGAGACAGCACAGCAACGCAGGCTGCGGGAGCGGCGTGAACGAAGAGATGTAAGCTAGGGTATGGGGCTACGGACAGATGTAAGCTAGGCTACGAAGAGACGTAAGCTAGACTACGAAGAGACATAAGCTAGACTGCGGAGAACCGTAAGCTAGGTTACGGAGAGACGTAAGCTAGATTTCGGAAAGATTTAAGTTCGGCTACGGAGACACGTAAGCTAGGCTACGGAGAGACGTAAGCTAGGCTTCGGGGAGACGTAAGCTAGACTACGAAGAGACGTAAGCTCGGTTACGGTGAGACGTACATAAGCTAGGCTACAGAGACGTAAGCTAGGCTACGGAGATATGTAAGCTCGGCGACAGAGAGAAGTATGCTAGGCTACGGAGACACGTACGCTGGGGTACGAAAAGTTGACCACGCAAGATCGGTAGCTTTTCCCAAGGCGAGGCGATTACATTACGATTACGTATCAGTGTGATTTGCAGTAGGGAATTTCGTCCAAATAATACTAAACGGCTCGAGTTGATACGATGTCGATCCCTTTACGTGTTGATATGCCTGCTACGATAATTAATCGTAACCATTGGGGGAAATAAAAACAACTATACACTAACTAGCTCACGGATAGCAAATAAATAAATGACTATCAACAGACTCTTTTTTCAGATAAGATGATCATGTTAGATACAATCTACATCAAACATGTGACTTCGTTAGCGAAAGTATATTACTTTTTACCCAACTGCGCAATGCAAGAGCGCGAAGCGCGACGCGCAGACGGGGCATAGTGTTTAACAGTCTATATATGTATGTTCTTTGTGGCACACTAGAGACCAAACGCGTGGACTGATTTTGATGATTTATACATCAATCGATTCGTCTAAATCATGGAAGTGCTACTAAAGATATTATAATAATCGAAAATCAATATGGAGACAACAGGGCGCCAAATTGTGATAAAGAAAAAAAATAAGTTTCCGAAATATGTCGAGTCGGGTATCATTGTCTAGATAATCGAAAATCATGTTTAGGTACCTTACACCATTTTTCATTTTATTTGATTGTTTAGGATCTACAATGATTTAAAGTTGTATATTAACTACTTGCGCTTTTAATTTCAACCTTACGTTTGTATGGATCTTTGTAACTCTTTCATTCAAAAGATTCTAAATGGATTTATCAAACTAACTAATAATAAAGCTTTTACATAATAATAGCATATAGATTATAATTTATGTTCTTATTTGGTGAATTGTCTAAAATATAACAATAAGTGTCACGTAAGACGGAAAAAATCTCCCATCTGCGAGCCATTTTGGCCTGAACTGCAAAAACAATACATGACTATAATGTATGGTGGAAATGTATCTCTTATATAGTTCTACAAAAAAGTCGAGGACAGCACATGTACATTTTTTTAATGTGTAAGCCATTATAGCTAAAATAGTGAATAAAAAATTAAATATTATTTGAAATAAATTACCAAAATGCATATTTTGTATAAATAAATTATTTTTTTATCAAAACAAAAACTTTAATCGCTTTTGATAGTTAAATACGATAAACTTTGGCTTTACTCTGTGTAATTTCGACAAGTATATAAAAAGTTACAACGATATTACGATGACAAAGTGATAGCGCGGTGTACTATGCAGGATTACGAGTATACTGCGGGAATGGTGGGAAAAGTGTTGAATTTTGGTGTTTATAAACGTATATAAAACCTAGGAGGAAAAGAAAAAAATGTGTTGCTCGCAGTATCTAATCCTAAACTAGGTACTTACAATAAAACTGTGATAAAGTCCCTTCTTATTAAATGATGAAAAATAAATTATCATAATAGGTACATATTTATAATTTGTGAAATTTAATGAAAAACTAAGAATTAAACGGATTTCAAAGTTTACTTTAACGCTATTACTTCATATTACTAAAGGATTACTTAACAAAATGAGAAATAACCTATTATTCGCTAGTAGGTACATACCTAATAGACCCTCTGTCTTTATTAAACAGCTCGCGATAATGTTGGTTTCGTAATTAGAATCGAAAAATTCAAAGGAAATGATATAGACTTTTATAGGTAAGTCACCCCTCCCATCACCCTACCCCTATAAATATTTCGATAATGTAAGCTACATTATCAGAACAGAACAGAACCAAGGCCCCATCTATTTCTATAGGGAAATTCATCATAATCGATTTAGCTATTAGGGCGCGAAAGCGTGACAAACTCACTTTCGCATCTATAATATTAAAATAACCTCTATATATAACTAGTGATCCGCTACGACACTGCATGGGCGAAATTTATTTTAACGGTATAGAAAGCCTATGTACCTCGGATACAATATAGTTATAAAGAAAAATGATACTAATTAAAAAAAATCCTCTCGGAGAAGTTGTAAGAATTTTTAAATCGAGTTGATTAATCAACTTATTGAGATTAATGCTTAAAAATATTTTAAATAATATAGCTACCTTATGGTGAATGAATTTTCGAAATCGGTTCAGGTTTAGGAGATTATTTGTTACACACATACAACTCTTGCCTCTTTATAATACCTATTAGTATAGATAGTTAGGATTTTGTTTTTACTTTTTTACTTTAACAGTCGGGACCCATTATTGAAAAAAAATTATCCATCCTTAAATATCTAATGGGTCCCGACTGTTAAAGTAGCTTTGATCCTTACTTAACAGAATTATAGACTACTGGACTTGTTTATTTTCTTTTTAATTTTTATTTGAAGTAATATTTAAGGAGTTGGGTTTTTTGATATTTAATTTTTTTTATTTTCTGGAATTCTTCATCTTTGACTCTGCTACCTTAATATGGATTTGGCGTTAACTTATAGAGGCGTGAGAGTTGGCATATGTTTTATGTAAATGTATTTATATCACTTAAGTTCTATCGTTCCTTGATGTAATTTTTCACACAAAGTATCATATATCACTTGTCAATCAAACAATGTTAACTTTTTAGTTTGTACGACTTTGTAACCAGTCGGTGACTTTTAAATTCGAATGTGAAGAATAATTATAGAAGGGATCTCAATACTATAATAGAATTTACTCTATTTTAATTAGAGATGCAAATTTAATACATATTATATCGTTCTATATTCATACTACAAAGGAATCGACAACTCCAACCCTAATAAAGCTTAAAGTTAAGTATCATCTGTTGTCTGTAAGCCTTAAGCCCTTTATCACTACGGTATCTTGATAAGCTTAATGTGTTTAAATTTTTATTTTCTGTTATTTTTATGTTACCTCTTCATCATAAGAAAACGGGTGATCTGTTACCTTCTCACATTAAAACTTACTTAAACCACTATAAATGTAGCCTAAACGATCTCTTATTGGTCAACAACAGGAAACGTTCTGAGTGTATCAAATAAATATAATTAAGTCAACTTTGCGCTACCCATCGACTTTACATCAAGAAAAATGTTAGTATCGCTTTGAAAAATTTCAGCTAAAACTTTAAAAGTCTGAAGCATAGGTCTTCTTTTATTCATGTTCTGACATGTGGCGTTCCCTCGTTGTACACAAGCTTTCTTCTCTAACAAAATAAACAACATTTGCTTCGAGTTAGGTCCTTTGAGAGACTACTCCCAGCACCTACTAATGTTTTATGAATGAGACTATACAGTTTCGTTAAACATTTTTTGATAAGTAAACGTTTAAGCATGCGTGTCTTCAACAAATATTTTGTAGCTGACTCACGACAAAACGTTTATTTACCTGCCTTACTTTAAATGAAATACTATTTCCGTCGCACAGATTCTTAGAACATTTAAGATCATCCCCTCCAAGGACATCACGTAGGCCGTGCCCTTTGTCACGAAAAACTGTATTCATCCTTCTCTCACAAGGAAAAATTCACGAGTTTCGCTGCCGTTCTTATTAGTTTAACTGTTTAATTATGTATCTTACAGCCATTGTCAATGAGCTTAGAATACAGCAGCAATAAGATATGACTTAGAACGTTTTTTGAATACATAGATTTACCTTTTTGCCTTTGCGAACTTAATGGAAATCAAGTTGCTTTCTTTATTTTCAAAAATGACGCTTTATTCCTGAGCTCTTAAAGTCTACGTTCGCATGGGCGATGTTGGTTATTAAGACGTTCCGGTTCGAGAATATTGTTAGAAAACTTGAAAGGCTGGCAAGCGGGAGCGTTACGGTCGGAGTGCAGCAAGCCTTCAGTCGCACAGCGCACGTGTTGGTGCGTGGACTAGTCCAAAGCTGAGGCTTACGCGAACTGGCGGGAACTTTTCTGAAACTTTCGTAGTTTAGTACGCTCCTGGTAAATGACAAAACGAAACGTTAAAAGTATATTTTAAATCAATTTGCATTACAACAAACACAGTTCCTACGTTTTATTATGGCTTAGAAAGTGATATTATAATAAACAATTTTATATAGAGCTTCTACGGCAGTGTTTACAAGTATGTACCAAAACTTTTGTTAAAACACTAATTATTGTTTTAAATTTTAATAAATGACCATACTATATGCTTGTTTATGTGTAACATTACTAAGAAGTATCTATTTGTATATAAATAATACATATTTGATTATATAATTTCGTAAATGTATTGTCAAAATATGAAAATAGAGAGCACACCGAATATGATGTGTGTTCCTTACAGATAAAGTCACTAAGAAATATTATTACAGGTACTTAGATTTTATTGAACAAATTTATATCAATATTAATTTCTTAACAATAACCTTAAAATAACTTCTGAAGTAATTATTTGCTAGATTGTGAATCAATTAATAATTTAGTCAGTTAACAAAGTAATTTAATGAAAAGAGTACTGCCTCAATTCTGGTAAATAAGTGTTAATTGATGAAGCGCTAAATTTGTATAAAGGTTATTGAGGCAGTTTAAAGTTTGAACGAGTTTTAGCACGAATTCAAAATAAATATAAGCACAGGCAAAATCTACCGTTCTTCTGTGAAACAGTTGAGGTTTTGTGTATTTATTTATACGTCCGATAAAAAAATAACTAAAAAACAAATTAGAAACAAGAATAAACATACAAGTAACTTAATTTTTTGGCGTTGTAACTAGACCCTGCCAATCACAATACTGCGCATTCGAATACAGAATAATTAACTACACCATTTTCTTTGATTACGTAGAGTTTGTATAGGACATACCTAAATCAAAAATAAATGTGTCTTGTATCTACGATGATATATAAATGTAATTAATCCCCGCGCATGTTTTTTTTACAAACAACATACAGCTTTTGTCATTTTTTAAAATTTGTTTTTTATTTTAAACTTTTTAGAGATTTTTTACAAACATTAATTTTACAGTTTGTATATTACTTTCATATGGTATATCTACGTACTTTTAATTTACACTGTACCTACGCTCGTTTTGATTATAACGTGTATAATATGTATAAAAAAACACACCGAAACGTCCGTAATTAAAATGCGGGTTACCTAAGAGGTATGATGATCGAGATGAACTTTCATAATATACCCAATAACAAAGCATGTTAGTGTGGGAGTATATTTAATATATCGAATGTTTAATAACATACACGATATTTAAAACTAATTGCTAATATAGCTTCTTTAATCTCCTCTATAAATACATAAACCTGAAGAAAAATATTACATCATCAATTAATACGATACATAAGAGTATTTTCAGCTCTTATTAAGATGCTGTTAGGTACGTAATGTTAACGCGTACTCATATACAAAATATGATGGTTACTGTAATATTTAAGGATACTACTGCAAAAGTGTGTATGATGCTTTTCAGCAGCGCCATCACTGACCTCAGTGATCTGATCTGATATATGTTAATGTAGTGTACGATGCACGAACGCAACGTACAAGCAATCATAATTTACGTACGTTCGAAAGTTTAGAAGAAAACATTATTTCTACATACGTAACGTACTACTCTCCCATGCATTAATATTGATTAATATCGTGTACAGAATATCTTAACCTTACGCTTTGTAAATAACACACCTATTATTAAATTATTACCCGTTTTCAGTACGTAGATCCTAATCTGAATCAATTTATGAAAATTAAAATTGTTATGGTTTCATAATTGCACAATTAGTGAGTGAACGTGGAGACATATTCCAAAAAAGAAAATGTTTTTTTTTGCGGAATTACACCCTTAATCTTTGTCTGAATTAGCTAGTAAAGTTTCCCAGGTAACTCAAAATTCACGGTGTATATTATTTATTTGTTTAATTAGGTATTATATAACTTTATTTATATAAACAAGACCGTACTTACTGACATTACATAGATCATGCTTTATAGTTACAGTAACCATACGATAGACCGCGTTCTAAGTAAGTTTTTCTATATGGCAGCGCCACAAATAATATTGTTTTTGCTTCCAAACTATCGAACGTACGTAAATTCTAATTACTTGTACGTTGTGTACGTGCATCGTACACTACATTAAAATATATCAGATCAATGAGGTTATAGGTGGCGCTTCTGCAGAGCATCACGCAAAGGTGTAGGTAGGTTGAGATAGGCAGAGGATAAATAAAGTGCGATAAAATTAAAGAAACCTTGTTGACAGATATTTTTTAAAAACAAAAAACAGTTAAGTGTAAGTCGGATTAGCCTATGAAGTAATTTTTAGGTTATAAACTTCAACTGAATATATTAACTACTGGCTTTCGCGTTATGATTAGTTTTAGGAGTAGAATCCAACAGGAACGTTAAATTTTTACGTGTGCCAAATTTCATCTTAACCTCTTTAGCTGTTTTTGAGTCATTGAGCAATAAACATAAAAATATAAAAACTTTAAATTATAATCATATTAGTAGGATATTAACTTAGTCACATCTAAAGCTACACAGGCTTAATAGTGTTCCCAAACTATTGCACACATTACTTTCTAAGTTTATAGAAAGAGGACAGAAAAAGAAGTGTTTCGCAAGATTTAACAATAAGTTGGTCGAACAAAAAAAACAACAAGAAATCTTTTTTTCTTTTATCCCCATAAGTTGTGAATTTACATCACACGAGATTTTAAGATAATGATGTCAATTTGAATTTACGTGGGTAAAGTACCCTTAAGGCATAAGTTTAAAACAATTTATTGATAAAAAAAAAATTAAGTTACAGTACTAAACTAGATTCGAAAACAAATTATAATAATAAAACAAATTGAAATACTTTCGTGGAGTACATAAAAGATTTAAACATGAGTTTATATTTAAGAGATTTTACATACATAAAAAATCCCTTATACTAATTCTAAAAAGGGAGAATTTAATGAAGCACCATTTCTACACTTCTCTTCATTAAATTTACAAAAAACAAACATAATTAAATAAAACAAATAAAATCAGCATTTCTTGTAAATTAAACGTAAACGTTAGAAAATAATAAACAGCATATTAATGATTCCTTCTCAGAAGCGATATCTAAGCGAACATTATTAGTTAATGTAAGCATGAGTAGTTAATTTTAAATAAACTGTTATTATGAAGAGCGGCAAAGCAATATTTGCATAACTGAAATCCATTTGGTTGATACAAAAAGTTCATTGTTTTTCTTCAACTCCCATTATTTTACCTAAATACGAGAATCCATTCGGACCATTGATAATTTTGTGGGGCTCATATTTGCCTAACTACAAAGTAAACAAACCGCCCGCAAAATCTTCACTGGAAATATTATTTCGGACAAATGGAAATTCCAATGCATTTGGAAACGCGGGCCTCCGCGGGCGGGTTTTAATTCCCTTGACTGTTGCGAATCGGCGCATGTTTTTTCATTAAAACGCATTCAATACGACGACGACGTAGCTTTGGAAAAGCGAACCTTTTCAAAAATATATCTCCCTGACATTTCACTTCGCAATGCTGACGCTGTTCTTTTCATGGTTTTGTGTACTTTTAAAATCGGTTCTACCACTTTCAATATACTCGTAGGACGAAATTCAAAATTGTGACGAATCACTAAGCTTCTTTTTATACCTTTTTATATCATGAGAACGTAAAGTAATTATTTCTAAAAGGTGGAAAACGAGTGCAGGACCTGCTCGATGGCAAGCGGCTATTATATTATACTAGAGGCTCCCTCGACTTCGTCCGCATTCATTTTTTTTGATAATCTCACAGGAATTTAAATTTTTCGGGATAAAAGGTATATATCATTAACTATGACCTGGATTAAGACATATGCGTACTGTTAGGCGGCCGGCGCTGATCGTCTTTTTAAAAAAAACCCAAAATTCCCGGATATGAATTTAATGATTTTTGATATACACAATTACACACGCGAACTCGAGTACCAAGTCCTGAGCTACCCGGATGGACCGTTCTTTCCCGTTGCCAAAGTCTAACTGCACTGTGGGAATTGATGGAACAATGTGAGGGCTGCGTTAATGCAACTCTGCAGTTTAATTCTATGGAAAATTACAGTTATACACGTTTTGTTGAATTAGCATTCTATGGTTACTAAGTCGGGTTATAACAACTCCCCCCTTTTAACGGAGCTTTATCGAAAATTAGGATGAAGCGGAGTTATAAAAATAATCAATTTTAAGAGACAGCTTCAGGATTTGGTAAACAGTTGTACATTATAAAACATATAAAAATACAATAAAATGATTCCCAATAATATTACTCTAAGTAACAAAGTCATAATAATCAAGATTAGAACTAAGATCTCATCTCGTAAGATGAACAAGGTTTAGTAAGATAATTATAAAATGTAAAAATATTAAAAATTCAAATTTCTGGAACTAGAACTAATAAACTTATCTTTATGTCTACTACTATAAGGTTTACAATCGGTTCGACAAGCAGGTAAGGATTTAACTGACTGCTTATCTTCATCAGAGTTAGAGACATCTGTTAATTCTATGGAGTTAGCAAATTTTGTTTGACGCTTTACATTTTTATTATTGTTACACTGATTAAATATCTGTATGCAACAAGATGAATGAATTCCTTTCCGAGAAAAACATCTGTATGCCTTATAAATTAAAAATAAAATTATAGCTACAATTAGAAAATAAGTAAAAGCGGAATAGTATGTTCCATACTTAATAAAATGCGATTCCTGTTGAAATTGGTTTATATTATTTTCAAGATCATCTAAATGTCGAGAAGCATGGGCCAATGTATCTAAATCGATATTGTTAAGAGATAACGGAGAAAGTAAAGGAATCGTTTTATTAATTATGTCCTTTTTACAACAGTCGTCTTGAGTGATATCAAAGTCTATGAAAAGTTGATTATTATAATTGAACGACATAGTGGTAGATGGGAAGAATTGTAAAGTTTAGAATAACCGACACAATCAGGGTGCAATTCTAATATCCCGGTACCTTGAATGGGATAGTCTTTGATATCCTCGTTACATTTTATTGTCAATTTATTTAATTGCGACTGCACAAATATCCATCTGTCATCATGGAGTTTTTGC